GTGTCATTCCAGTGCATCTCTTGGCTAATAAAGAATTCCACTGCTTTAACCGATCTTCTTATCTTAGCTTCTTTGCCAAGTTTTTCCTCTCTTCCTGTGTGTAACTGGATGTGGTGATCTGCTGCTCAAGCTCTTGCTAGTGGCCACTGTGAGCCTAAATGTGACCTGGTGATGTAGCACCGCTGCATGTAAGCCTGCGCCCAGAGGCGGAGCTGTCAGAACGTGACGTTTCAAATGATTTGGTGAATGATTGACTTAAAAAAAATTGGTGAATGAGTGCTTATTTGCCTTCTTCCTCTTCAGCGTTAATGATAATGGTGCCACGCTGTTGGAATCACAGAGAAATCGAGTAATTGTTCTTTCCCCAAACTGATCCGGGTTCGGACAGCTCTGATCTCTGGTTGTAGGACAGCTGGTTTTGTTGTGTGATGCTATTCGAGGGAGGTTTGACAGCCTCCTCCTTCTGTACATGTAATGGGATTGTGGCAGACTAGGATGTCCCAAAGGAGAAACCCTCTCTTTCAGGAAATATTACTGATGTCTCCCTTTTGGTGCAGTGCCCCTCTGCCCCCTTACTTTTTTTTTTCTCCCTATAAGCTGTTTTTTCTCCGTACAGAACATTTCGTCAGAGGCTTTGGATGAAGAGAGTACATTTTTGTAGTACAGTTTGGCTAACAGAGATGCCAACGTGTTAAATGTTCTAGCTGAAGCCAAAAATGGAGACATTTGTCTGTACAATCGGGTTTATCTTGAGAAAGCAGCCTCCTTGGGGGTCCAGATGCTGCAACCAGCCTTTTTGAAAAGTCTCCTCAGGATCACTCTGACATGCCAGACCACAAAATGTAAAGAAAACTTATGCCCCTCCTTGATTTTACTTCAAGGAGGAAGGTGATGATCAGAGGTCAGGACGATGTGCGTTCTGTTTATTTTGTAATAATCGGTTGGGGGAGGGGGAAAAAGAAGGAAAAAGACTAAAAGCAAACCTACAACATGGCTGACAATGTATGCAAGTGTTGGGAAAATCCCCTTTTGACATTCGCAGGTCCAAAGCAATCCCTGTGCTGCTCTGGTCTGGTGTGTGAAGGGACCGACGGACAGCTTTTTACTGTCTGTGGGTCGTTTCCCTCGGCCCTTTGTAACCTGCCTGTGAACCACACACGAGGACTTCAGACTTCACAACAAGCTCCTACAGGAGAGCTCATGATGTTATCGCCACTATGGTCTCACTCTTCACACAGCAAACTGTTAACAATATACCTGGATGTCATTATTGTTTGCGATATAATAAAAGAAGAAAATCTACGTCTGCGTCACCTGATTATTTCTTTAGAGAAGCTAGCAAGGGGCTCTGGAGAGATGGGTATTGGTGGGGGGGGGGCAGGCAATCAGCCTTTTATTTTATTTTTTTTAAACAATTTGCATGCAGCATGGTTGTTGGTGCTATACAGGCTGGCCTGAGTATTTCAGAATCTGCTGGGATTTACACACACACACACACACAGACACCTTTAGAGTTTACAGATGATGGTCTGAACAAGAGAAAGTATCCAGATGTGTCAGTATGTCAAAAGAGACATAGGAAGGCAACAATAACTCAAACCATCCCTTACAACCAAGGCAAGCAAAAGACCATCTGTGCTGTAGCAGAAGACCACACCTGGTGCCACTTTTGTCAGCTAAAAACAGGAAATTGAGGTTACAATTTGCAGTCTTATCAAAATTGGACAACAGAAGACTGGAAAACATTGTCTGGTCAGAAGGTGAGTTCAGATAGGAACAGGTCTGATCCTCCATGGATTCAAATAGAGCAATCCTGCTTTGTAGTTCAGGTTGGTAGTGTTGTAACGGCGTGAGGGATGTTTTCTTGGTACACGTTGGACCTTACTACCAGGTGAGCATTGTTTAAACACGGCAGCCTGTGTGAGTATTGTTGCTGACCATGTGTACCCACAGTGTGTGCCATGTTACAAAGTTCAAATCATCCGCGACTCGTGCTCTATACTCGGAAGGCATCTGCATGCCAATCCAACAGAGCACCTTTGGGACGTGCAACCAAGAAATCTGCAGCAAGTGTGTGATGCTGTCATATCAATATGAACCAAAGTTCAATTACAAATGCGTAATAAAATGACAGGTGATTGTATGTGCACGACGGTAAGGAGCAACCGGGGAAAACGGTACACGGGAAACGTAAAACAGACCAGGGCTCAGGACTGAACATAATGAAAACGCTAAACAGGATTATTTTAATTATTTTTTTTATATTTGTTTTTAATCGAATTTAAATGTATCGATACAAAACTTAAGTGATTTTATAAAACTGCCATAAAAAATTATTCCCTAAAAAACCCCCACAAACAGACAAAAAAACTTTTACCGGTAGAGGCTCGAAGCTAAACACCGTTTCGGTGACGTCAATGCGCAGCGACGTGGATATGTGACGTGGGCGTACAGGAAGTGAGCTGCAGAAAGTGGGAAAACGTTTGTGCAACGTGATCTGTGTAGTGTTTTTCTCCGCTTTAAAAAGTAAGCGAAGGTCAGGAAATATTAGCAGCTACA